ATGGTTTGGTATAAGTTCATCATTAATCCATTACGCGGCTATAAGTTTTCTCCCGTGCTGTCTCTATTTCGCTTGGCACCCCAATGGCGACTCACGGTGGGAGTACCCTCTGCCGGAATACCCTGGTTCGGAAAAACAAGTACGATTTTCCGTGTTTTTGCATGCTTTTTGGCGAAGCAAACGCTCTCTTTTTGGTTTCTGACTTTTCGCATTACCCGATCTACGTTTTCTTTAAACTTGCATAACAATTAAGCAAAAAAAACTTGGCTTCTGCATTTTCTCCTGAACCTGTTTTTTAAACGACTCAACTAATGAAAACATTTTCAGGAATGGATTTTCTTCGCTTCCCCGCCGAAATCCAGCATGAAATCGTCCGACTCCTCGGCATCGACGATTTCTTCAAGCTGGCCAGCTCGAGCAAAACGCTGTGGGATATTTGCGAGAATACGCCTGGAAAATGTTGGGGCGGAAAGTTGTGGAACCACGAGCCAAATTGTTTCAAGTTCGCGCCGCGTACTGACGAGGCTTATCGTGAAATCACACTGAAAGAAAAGGCGCTTCAGCTCTTCTTCAAGAATTCTTCGGTCTCGGAGTTGGAGCTTGCCGAATCCGATTTTCCGAACCCAGGTGTGACTACGAAACGTCTTACGTTGGATTATACCTCAGTGAACCTACTCGACCTTTTGAAAGGATATAAAACGGAAGCTAAATACAGTTACTTGAAAATCCAATCACTAGAAGTAAAACAAGAAGTCGTTCTCTGGCTAAACGAGTGCGTTGAAGATTTCGAATTCACTGCTGCCGTTTCACTACCAGCATATACGAAACTAACGATACCCTCAATATGTATCGTTCGGCAAGAAAACGTTGAGATGGAAATGGAACCCTTCTTCCGCACGATCATTGGAGAATGGCTGGCCGGCAAGCGAGAAATCACCTGGATCTGCGTTCGTGGCGACGAAAACGGGCCAAATTTCCCGGATTTCGAGGGAATGGCCACAGAGCTAGACGTCGCCGGGGCTCAGGCCGAATTCGATAGAGGCGACGGAAAGGTGCTCGTGCTCACCGGGCCACAAACCGAAACTTTTTCGACGATTTTGGAGGTGTTTGATTGAATATGTTGAGTTTTTAATGATAAATATTTTGTAACATTTGGATTTCTGGTTGTTATTACGTGATGGTTGTGGCACCAATATATTGACCGTCTTATTCACATAACAATAACAAGACTAATATGAAATTGCGAAATAGAGTATTATGAAAGTAGTGACTATTCGTCCATGTAGAAATTTCTATTGGAAATGCTGTCGTTCGTAATGTCGGCAGAAAATAGACAGTTCCAAGGTAGCCAGCAGCTTCGCCTGCCTCAAATGCGCGTCCGCTTTTCCACGAAACCTGAAAAATTTAGTTTGGATATTTTCATGGTATAAAATCTCTCGTCTAAAAAACCTCACTCGAAGTTTCTGAGCGGCACGAAAAGTTATATTTAGCGGCAATGTTGGCAAAGTAGTGACGCCAAAACTAAAAACAAACCATCGCTTTACTCGTAACTTTAAGCATACAGCCTTCGATCTAACACTTCCAAAGTGCCATCCATCGCCGAGATTTCGAGCATGCCGAGGTCTAGGGCTTTCAGTTCGTATTGGAAGCTTATGAAGCGTTCTAAAACTGGGGTCTTGCCGCGAAAGCCAAGCTTCTACCGCATTCCCAAAGCTTTGATGTGTTCGTTGCTTCAAACTGGTCGTGAACGGGTCTCCAAATGCCGGGCCGACATCCAGGGCCATTCCTTTGCACTGGTTCGTCGGGACTTGGATATCGTCATCATAACCTGATCGTATTATTGGGCTCGATACAGCAACCACTTACTAACAGTTTTCGTAGCTACGACAGGGTTGCATCCTTTTGGTATAAAAATTGAATACACGCCTCCGGGGATAAATTGAGGAATGAATGGGTCAACGTCGCTAGAGAAATATAGCGTAAAGGTACTTATGGCACCTACCGAAAAGTCGCTAGCGGTAGCTTGGCATCTGGTCTTGAAATAGCACCCGAATAAAGCTGATACTCGCAGTTGTTCTCGCTATGCGCCTGATAGCGTACCGATTTTACGTCGAGTAAATTTCCTACCCATTGCAGTTGACCCAATTGTATCCATAGACTGCTGTAACGATAGCAAAACGCCATTAACACTATCGTGTCTTGCTCCATAGAAATCGAGAATGACATTCTACGAAAGTCCCGACCGTACGGAATTAAACCCACTGACAGGAGACTCATGTTTTCTAAGAGATATGGGTATAAACTTGCTCAAAACTACCCGGGACAGAATGTGGCAGCTCGGACGAGTAATGATGAATACTCATTATTCAACCGTATTTGAGTGTATCGATTGCGAGTCGCGTTAAAAACCATGCGACAACAGATTTGCTTCGAGTAGGTCAGATCGAGACTAGAAGAACGGATGGGCGCCTTTGGCTCGATACTAACTCGTAGTAGATGCATCCCTTGATTGGGGTTTCGCTATCAGGGTCGTTTTTCTGCTTCAAGTTGCAAAATATCACGATGATTGCGTTTTCGTGGTCCGCAACATCATCTCCAATTTTGACGCAGATCAGTTGACCTCTAAAACCATATAAAGCAAGTACGAGACTTACGATTCAAACTGAATTTGATTGATGGTAAATAAGGGGTTTTCTCGGGTGAGTGTGATGTTTTGAACACAAGTCTCTCTTGCGATCCGCTTGGCCGTGTTTCCGACATGGACGAGAAAACCGCGAGGACCATCATGAGCCAAATCAGGTTCGAACACGGCTGCGATCTCCCGGACATTGAGGTGAAACGTGGCGCCAAGGTCTGTGGCTGTAAATCTGGTAGGCGTGCAAAGAATAAATACACGATTTCTAAACTTATAATCGTACGACCTACTTTTTCGTATAATTTCCCAGGGCTTCTTCGTCGTTTATAAGCAGAGTTCCTCCCTCGATAACCGTCAGTTCAACATCAATTTTGATAAATTCCTCGCCGACTATAATTGGCGTTGCTTAAACTTTGGGCGCAAACGCTTAATCCCAGTACGAGTCGAAAAATAGACATCGCCGGGCTCGTCAAAAACCCAGGGAAATTTGGGACTGATTAGTAGCAGATCGCGGAAATCGGTGTCGTAGCCATTGATCGCGCCTAAAATCTGACAGGTAAAAAGGTAAAAAGGGCCGATGCCTTGCTGGTTGAAATAGAAGGTGAGATAGATATCCGATTCCTTATAGCGGCTTATTATCGAGACAACGGAACAATGCAGATGGATCAAATAGAAATCCCTGGGTTTCAGAAATTAGCTTGTCGTAAGAGTGTCAATGAGCTAACCGCGAAGCCAGTAATAGATTTTTGTTGTTGATTCCCGGATCGGCGCCAACGTATAGTGGAATTCGATACGCATCGCTGAGTCCTTCTCCCTCTAAATCCCGATCAAAAGCGGCGCTGAGCATTAGGTCCGGAAACGTCTGATTCGTCAGTTTCCTGAAACCAAAATTAACAAGCGAGATTGATGATCACTCGGGCGCAATCAGCACCACGCTCCAGATATACATCGATGGAAGCCGAAAATTGAGCATCGCCTTAGTGTTTATTGGCCACGGATCGGAGGTGTCTTGCGGGAATACGATAACACCATATTGGGCTGAATTTTTTGGCAAATATTCACATATTTCTTACAATTGGACCATTCTTGGACACGGAAAGAGATTGCAAATTCTTGAAGCAGCCCCGTAACGATTGGCGTTACATGTAGAGTTGACATCTTTACCGCGTAGCTGCAGCTATACAAAAATGCTTCGAACTTTTCGCCGATTGGCCTAAACGCAAGTTTTGTTTGGGGATGATTTTAATGAGTACGTGATTTACATCCTAAGAGTCTGACTTAATTAAAATACGGGTGAAATTAAGAATTACCTCGCTTCTGTGCATCCTACATAAGTTAAATTCAACCCAAGAACCGCAAAAGGGAGTGGATCGTAACATTTAATGTCATCATTCTAAAAGAAGTGTGCTTCAGAACAACACCAATTTCCTCCTCTAATTTTTCCTTGAGCGTTATGAACCGTACCATCTGAATACCCGATTCATTGTGGCATTTTCGGACAGAGTAGTCGATCAAAAAAGTACATCCTTCACAACCAACAATTGTCAAATTCTAAAGCAATATTCCTTATAGCTACTTAATGTACGTTCTTGATTTCCAATGCTGTGCCGTGCAGCGCGTAGGATGGATTTTCCGTCGATAGTTGAAAGAGCCGTTTATCCAGGTACCCCGAAGTCACATCAATATAGCAAGAGATTTGTAGTAGAAAATAGGTAAATGCCCGTGTTTTCATTGTCAATATTCGACGCAAAGCTTAGTGGTGAGCAAATCGTTAGTCCAACGCCGAGGCAGACCAAGTGGAATTCTTCGCCCTGCTCTTATCGCAAGCTGCTCATCATTCCAAAAGAAAAAGCGGATTTTCTGAGATTTTCTTATCGAAAACATGGAGCGAATGAATAAGAGCAACGAAACACAATATTAAAACACTGGGTTAAGCGTTAGGCACCAGCTGATTTGTGAACTTGCAAGGGACTACTGGGGATTAGCACTGTACATCAGTTTCTCATCTTATTGCCAAACGTAATAATACAGTGAGAAAGCACCAAGTTAACCGAGTAATAGATGTTTCGTCACGGTTCGTCGTCAACATTGGTGAAGCGGTTGTTGTCCGTCTAGAGGGCATAAAATAAGCCGTTCCGAGGTATCCGGTGGCTTCTCCTATATAAGCTGGACCACCGCCCTCCCAGTTAACCTGACAATAGGATTTGTAGTTTACTTGAGTTCTGGCATATGAATTACTCACCTTTAACTTATACACTCCTCTAAATGTTGTGTTTTTTGGTAATTCTGGTAAATTGTCGGCTTCAAAGCTAAATATCATCTCCAGGATTGAAAATTTGAAATCCTTACCATTCTCGAGCCAAAATTTGAGAATCGGCATCCAACGCCAATATTTCCAGAGAACCCATATTCAGCGCTTTCAATTGGTATTCAATGTCGATTCGGCTTTCTAATCACAATCCACATTTGGCCGCAGAAATACCGACCGCACTCCCAAATTTTTGTAGAATTTACGTCAACGTTGAATTCATGTAAGCGATCACCAAATCCGTGGCCCACGTCCATCGCAATACCTTTGCATTGTGTACTATCTACTATCAATGGTCCTGGGTCAGCATTCAGCTCTAAAAAGTTCGCTATTTATTGAAAACGACAATGCTCACGTATCACACTGACAGCTATCGTCGGATTGCACCCCTTGGGGATATAACTAGAATACACGCCACTGGGTAGGAATTGCGGGTAGAACTGTTCGCTTTCACTGTAATTTAAGTAGGGTATCCGGTTAAGCGACGTACTGATATGTCGCTAATGGTAATTTGTCGTCTCCGTTTGGGATGGCACCCGCATATAGGCTATATTCGCAATCCTGGTCGCTGTGGGCCTAATACATTGAAATAAATAGCAAATTTGCCCCTGCTCACCCTTCTCAGCTGTTCAAGGACTCCCCAGTTAGTGTAGCTGTAGCAAAATATCAGGAATACTAACGTGTCTTTTTCTGCATTGGCAGAAAGCGACATTGTTTGAAAGTTTGAAGAAAAAGGCTGTATGCCGATCGGCAAGTAATCTACATCTTCTACAATCACGGATTTGAGGTTTAGTTTCCCTAAAGCAACCTAAAATCGAATCGGACAGCTGGATTAGAAGCGAAGAATATTCTATATCTATGCGTATTTTGGTATAGTCGATCCGCGTAGTGTTCATCGTCATACGGCAGCAAGTTTGCGTTAGATAGACAAGGTCCACGCTAAAACTAGACATTTTTTCACGGTTTTAATGCGAAAAAGCCGGAAAGCTTGCTACCCACTCGTAATAAATGCAGTCATCTATTCGGTGCTCTTTCACGTGGTTATTTTTTGATTTTAGGTTGCAATATGTCGCGACGAGTTGCTGTTGCTTTTCGTTTGTCTCGTCTAGCTTCACGCAAACGTACTGACCCCTAAAAGAGACGATAGATATGATTTTAAGGGGCGTCAGAAGGCATAGGTCAACCCCCCTAATGGACTTTTTGGCAAATAGCTAGCGTGTGAGAGACCGCACCTAGTTGAGAGGCGGAGACGCCAGGGTTCCACCCGCGTAACCGCTGACGTAGTCCTTTCCCTTTTCCTCTTCGGGTGTCAACTCACGTCTGATATTGAATCTGATTGATGGCAAAGACTGGGTCGGCCTTCGTGAGCGTGATGTTGCGCACGCAACTATTCAGCTCAATTTGCCGTTCGATGCTTTTAACAGAAAGGAGGAAGCCACGCGGGCCGGTGTAGTTGGCGTCCGGCTGGAATCTCGCCGAAACAACGTGTGCGGTGATTTGGAATTCATAACCCAGATCCTTTGATGTTAGTCTGAAAGCAAGTGTAAATAGAAAAAAAAGCATTAATGGATATACCAGTGGAAAATGTCCGCTTCGCGGCCCTTTTCCACTGGCCCCCGTCTAGGAACCATATAATCTCCTTCCGTTTTTCAAGCCTGCGGCGCAAGAGCCTGACTTTAGGAACCATTCTCTGGCCTGCGGTGTTAGCTACTGGTTTTTCTCTAGCATTTGGCCTGCCGGGCTAGAGCGAGGGCCTGGCCTAAATTTCGGATACCGAGAGTCTCGAAATAAGTTTTGTTTTTGAAATATCAAAAAGCAAAAAGGTAAATTTGCCGAGGATCCGAACCTTCGACTATGCGCGTGGTAGACCGGGCGCCAAGCCACTATACCAACGGGGGCATTGGGACGGGTGGCGGGAAAGGCCTCTTCTGCCCTGGGGGTTCGGTCACGCCCGGTCGGGGTTATTCTGGTAACTTTACAAAATTAACTTTTTTAGTCTGAATGCGCCAAAAATTTGTAAAAATAATGAGATGCGCGTGATCCCCACCATCGAATACATAAGTGGTCCAAATTACAAACCGAAATTCCATCATTACTTCGAGTTATGGCCCGAACACCACGGCGCGTCACCCATTTTGTTAAGGATTTTCACTTTGTTGCTTGTAAAATTGTTAAATGAAGGAATTTCAAAAAACCCAAAAAACCGTTTTTGGCGAATGTGTTTCTTCACCTCCATGCCAAAAATCAGCGCGGTATTCGGCCTGACGGCCGAGAAACCGCCCGGACAGAAAACACACATACTTTTCTCGCTTATAGGATAGGATACAAACATTTTCGTCTTGTTCCCCGCTCTGCATGCCATCTCCAAATAGAGGGTTCCCCCTTCGATAGACATCAGCTCGAGGTCCATTGAGGCATAGCCGCCAGACACTTAACATTTCTGGACGTACTGGTTGCTGGGTTCACATACTTTCTATTCCGGTCACGGACGCAAAATCGACGTCCTCCACCTCGTCGAAAATCCATGGATACTTTGGGCTGGTGAGGACCTGTTCACGGAACTTGGCCGATAATGGCTCCAGCCTTTCTGTTCAGATAATGACACGGCGTGTTTACGCATAATACCTTGCCAATTGAAAAACAGGTCTAGAGAGATGGCCCATTCCTCGTATTGACTAATGATCGTCACAGCAGAGCAATGGAGGTGTTGGCTGCAAATGGAGGTCGATCCTATGTTAGAGACGCGAGTTGCGGTAAATTTTAGGAAAGATTAAAGCTAGCTCTATGTCTTAAAGAGGTACCAGGGTTGAAAAGCCGCTTCGCGACTTTTCAACCCTGGCCCCGTCCAACGCTATGATATCCCTCGCTTTGCATAAACTTTCCACGCTTTTATGTCACAGAAATGAAAAGCGCGTCCTCCCCCTGATTATATAGGCTACTCCCACTTCCGGCGTATGCTAATTTTTTCCTAACAAAGAAGTTGTCCGATTTTTAAGGAAAAACTTAATTTTTATGTCGAAAACAATCGAAATTGCAAAATCTGATATGCGTGCAGTCATCTACACGCCATTACGCGTCTAATGACCTATCATACGCCCCCTTCATCCCTTCCCCTCTTGAGATATCCTCCGGACACGCTGACGGAAGTTGCATGCAAAGTGGCACACACACACACAGACACTATTTTTTATATATAGTAGGATAGAAAAACCTTTAAAAATGTACGACGGCGGTCTTACCGTGGGGATACGACCAAAGATGAGTGCAGGGTGTTGGTGCTCATGCCAGGATCGGAGCCAACAAATAGTGGGATGCGGTACGCATCACTGGGCACCTGGTAGGAAAACAGTGATTCTAGTGTAACGTCTGGGTAAGTCCTGTTTGTTAGTTTCCTGCAAACATATATAGTTTAGTACCAAATTGCTTACTCTGGCGCTATCAGAACGACGGTAAAGACATGCAATGGCGGAAGACGAAAAGTAATCGGCCGGTTTTGACGGGAAGCTGGGTACGGATCGGTGACAGATTGCGGAAAAAGAATAAGACCATATTGCGCTGAAACATAAATTTAATTAGATTTTTCAAATCTTCAGTCTCTCGATTCAAGGGAAGCTTAGTTACATCTGCTATGAAATGCTTTATTATCGCCTACAATTTGCCCACTCCAGAACGCGAATCGATATCGCAAACTCTTGCAACAGCCCAGTCTCCATGTATGTCATTTCGATGGTTCGGCTCTTAACAGCGTAGGCGCAGCCATACATCGCGCTATCGTATTTTTTGCCAATTGGCCTAAACTTTTGATTATCGCTTCGGACGGAATATGCTCATTTAGTCTGCCTCGGTTGATTTAATAGTTCTGCAAGTTTATTTAAACCAGACCAAGCCTCCGTGCATCCCTGGAAATCCACGATAACCTTCGAAACGGTGAAAGGTAGAGCATCGTAGCACTTTATTGCTGTTTCCTGAACCAATATGAAGACGTGCGAATCATACTCACCATCCCGACCCCGGTCTCATTATAACACTTTCTTACGGAATAGTTGATTAAAAAAGTGCAAGCCGTACAGCTTGTGATGGTTATGTTCTAAAAACGTACAGTATAAGTTGAGTTAGACCCACATTTTTAATTTTCAACGCTGTCCCGTGTAATGCATATGATGGATAATCGGGTGATAATTGAAACAGCCGTCGGTCCAGGTATGCACAAATTACAGTTATTACACAGAAATGCTATAAAACCTATGATTTCTGTCGGTATATCATACCAGACAGATATTGAATATTTTCATTAGCAGCGAATCAATGCAGCACGTTGCGCTTTTGCACCTCGTCATGTTCCGCTAATCGCTGGGGGCTGATGGGATTACGGGTAAGATAACGCATGGAATCAGCTGTATTAATTTTATGTCTCAGATTTTTTCAAATTTCTAAAGGTGATGGATGGCTCTGATTGAGGCGGATCAACCTCTTTCTATCCGTACTAAATAGTAAAAATTTTTCTTGAATTTCATTTCGAATCTTTAATTCAGTTTTTGTAAAATGTTGCGTGATGTGATAAATAGTGCAGAACTTCATTTTATCTTTTTTTACTAGCATCACCATACCAGCAGCATCTTTTTCTGGCGTGAAAATTCAGATCAAAGATTCAGATTACTGAATAACCCATAAGAGATCGAGCACAACACAACATTAAGGGAGCTGTGGGAACTTCTTGCACTTCTCGGCGAGGTCTCCCGTGGTGCTGGCGTTGTCCACCATGGTGATGTTTGAAAATGAATGGTTCCAAGGTATCCGGTGGCTTCCCTAATGTCAGCGACGCGACCGCCAATCCAGGAGACCTAAAAAAATCCGATGCTCGGTAAATCGCGGGGTCTGGCGGATCGTCTGCCTGAAGTACGACGACTTACTTGTAGTTTCCGGGCCCCTATGAATGTGATGTTTGTTGGTAGCTGGGGCAAATTGTCCGACTCAAAGCTACAAGGATCAATAAACGCTTGAGAACTTTGCGCTTACAACATTCTATCCAACACCTGAGACTCCGCATCAAGTGCGGCCACCGACAGCGAGCCCATATTCAACGCTTTCAATTCGTATGTCACATCGATGAAAGTTTCTTAACAGATTCTCTGTAGAACATATGCATTTCTGCTCATACCACATTCCCAAGTTTTTGTGGAATTTGTCTTGTAAATTTGGTCGTGGAAAGGGTCGCCAAATCCTCTGCCAAGGTCCATCGCCATACCTTTGCATTGACGGGTGGTGGTCTGGGTACCGGCTTCGAGAGCGAAAATAATGATCATGATCAGGAAAATGCAGTTAAAGCTTACTCAGTATATTTGTTGCGATGGTCGGGTTGCAACCTTTCGGGATCAAAATCGAATAAACACCGCTTGGGAGGAATTGAGGGAAGAACGGATCGGCGTCGCTAAATTTTACAATTTTTCGCTCGAGGCAATCAGATTGTCGTTGGGCTTACCGGAAAACCGCCAACGGCATGTGATTTTCGGGACCAGATACAGTTCCTGCATACAATGGATATGTGCAATTTTGGTTGCTATGCGCCTAAATCATATCTAACCTCCAGAAGCCCCAATGTACCCATTGCAGCTGTCCCAGCAGCCCCCAAAGATTGTTGAAATCGTAGCAAAGAACTATGAATAGAAGCGTATCCTTCTCAGCAAAATTCGAAAACGCCATCGTTCGATAGTCGAGTGCATATGGGGAAATACCGACAGCAAAATAGTTTTTGCTTTCTAAAGTTTGCTATTTCAGCAAGGCGCTTAATACGATTACCTATCATTATCTCGAAAATCAACATCTCGAAAACCAACATCTCGAAAATAAACATCTCGAAAGTTCATTATCTCGAAAGTTAAATAGCTCGAAAGTTAATTATCTCGAAAGTTCGTTATCTCGAAAGTTCATAACCTTGAAACGCGGTCCTTACCATTCTACTCCACCTTTTGTTATCAACCCGATATTGATGTCACAAATAAAATAAAAAGCATTTATTCCGATATATCATTTAATCAAAGGTCTGGGCAATTAACTTGACGAAGTTAATGGTTTCATAAGCATCATAGCTCTCGCAGAGGGCTTGTTGCGCCTGGCAGTCGGGACGCAGCTCTTTAGCCTTATATCCTTGTTGCTGCATTTCCAGAATTCGACTGTTCGAGATATTTAACTTTCGAGATAATGAACTTTCGAGATATTTAACTTTCGAGATAATTAACTTTCGAGATGTTGATTTTCGAGATGTTGATTTTCGAGATGTTGATTTTCGAGATGTTGATTTTCGAGATGTTGATTTTCGAGATGTTTATTTTCGAGATGTTGATTTTCGAGATGTTGATTTTCGAGATGTTGATTTTCGAGATGTTGATTTTCGAGATGTTGATTTTCGAGATGTTTATTTTCGAGATGTTGATTTTCGAGATGTTGATTTTCGAGATGTTTATTTTCGAGATGTTGATTTTCGAGATGTTGATTTTCGAGATGTTGATTTTCGAGATGTTGATTTTCGAGATGTTGATTTTCGAGATGTTGATTTTCGAGATGTTGATTTTCGAGATAATGACAGAACCCCGCTTAATACTTACTTGAGATGGCGGAGGGCAGTTGTATAAGCAGGGAGGAATATTCCCTTTCCATCGATATTTGAGTGTATTCGCTTCTGCTAATGTTCAGCGTCATTTGACAGCAAGTTTGCATGGAGTAGATGAGATCGAGGCTGAAATTGAATATCGGAAATGCTATGAATATCGACACTGGTTCACTTGTAATAGCTACAGCCCTCTATACGGTCCTCCTTCCCATGATTCGCTTTTGATTTCGTGTCACAAAAGGTGAGAACCATGAGATTTTCGGCAACGGCATCCTCGCCCAATTTTATGCAGAGCAAACGACCGCTAAAGACGACGTATCTTGCCGATGAACACTTACGAATCAAATTGAATTTGATTTATGGAGAAGAATGGGTTTTCATTGGTAAGCGTGATGTTTCGCACACAGCTATTCCGTTCGATTCGATGGGCTGGAGATTCGACAGTAAGCACAAAGCCGTGTGGGCCTTTGTATTCCGGATCCGGATGGAATGTGGCATTAAGGTCCTTGGCTGTTAGTTGCAATCGCTGCCCTAGATCAGCTGCCGTCAGTCTGCAAACCGGTGTTCTCAACAGGAGCAAAAAATGATCACTCACATTTTCGTAAAGTTCTCCAGCTGGCTTGCCGTTTTCAAAAGCACAGTTCCACCCTCGATGGCGGTGAGCACGACGTCCATTGGCACATTGTCATAATAACCTGCTCTTACTTTGCTTTTAAGAGGGTACAACTGACTATTGACTTCCGCCAGCGAGGTAAATGTCACATCATCGGACTCGTCGAAAATCCATGGATACTTTGGGCTCGTTATAATAACGTCCTTGAAACTTTCCTCCACCACTTCTGGTTTTTCTATATCAATGTCAAACAGGTTATTAATAAGTTTTAGTACCCCGGGAATTAAAATATATTGTTAGATAGATGTCCAGGCCTTCATACTGGCCCATGAGCGTTGCGACCGAGCAATGCAGATGCTGCAGGAAATCTCTAACAGTAACAATTTTTTGCATGTTTTTGAGCAATTCGCAAGCGCTGAAGGCTCACCGATTCGACACGATCAGATTTTTCGTGCTCATCCCAGGGTCTGGTCCAACATATAGAGGGATTCGATAGGCGTCGCTCAGCCCATTTTCATCGAATTCTTTATAGAAAAACGCGTCGACGGTGATGTCTGGGTAGGTCTTGTTCGTTAGGTTACTTAATGACCATAATCAAGTTTTGATAAAATTCTACTCGGGTGCAATCAGCACGACAGTCCAGATATGCAAAGCTGGCAAGAGGAAGGCCACCACGGGTTGGTGAGGCTTGGCGGGCCATGGATCGGCGATTGATTGTGGGAACAGAATGACGTCATATTGCGCTAAAATGCCTAGTAAATTGCCTTAAAGTATTCAATAATTTTCGAAACTGTCTGTCTTTAGTATATACAAGAGTTCAACCCTCGAAAAACCCTCCGAAACACCCACAGTTCGCCCATTCCCTGACGCGAACTGATACGGCAAACTCTTGGAAAAGTCCAGTATCGACGAAACGTATTTGTAGCTCCAAAGATTTTGCCGCATATTCACATGCATACAAAATGGCGTCGTACCAGTCGCTGATCGGCCTGACAAACACGGACTTTTTTGATTACATTGCATGGAAGACGTGTATTATAATCCCAAGTCCATACCAAACCTTTGTACATTTGCTGTAATCTATCGGAAAACCAGTAATTGCAAATGGTAATGGGTCGTAGCATTTTATCTGTGTGTTCTAAAAACGTAACCGAGTTTCTGAACTAGGCTATTAGGACTCGCCATTCCCATTCCCGACTCGTTATAGCATTTTCTCACAGAATAATCAATCAAAAAGGTACATTCCTCACAACCGGAGATTGTTAGATTCTGAAGCGTAATACCTAAACATCAAATTCTACTTACATTTTTAATTTTCAGCGCTGTTCCATGCAATGCGTAGGAGGGATTCTCTGGCGATAATTGAAAAAATCGCAGGTCCAAGTAGGCCGAAATTATCGGGACCATGAATAATAATAAAACGAAGTCGACAAATTGCATTTTCCAACGCAAACACCTCCGAGGTGTGATGTGCAAGTTGTATTTTAGGGTCTTCCGGTGTACTAATCGGATTTAGGTCTGTCACCCCCTGCTTATCAAAGCCTCCAGAAACGTGATAGTTTGCTCAATTTGGCGACCCTTGGGCGTATTAAAAATATAATGCTAAGATTCAGTTATTTTGACATTTTTTATGGTGTTTTTATTGTATTCAAGCAGGATCTACACAACATTTATCAATATACATCAACTAATAGCAACCTCATCGTCTATTCAAAACCTTCAACCAAATAGAAGGTGTGCTCCCTGGTTGAGGCACTTTGAGGTGCAAAAATTTGCCGTCCGCTCGTTGGATAACGGCCTTCTCAGGCCCTGGGAAGTCAGCGCCATATTCGTGGAAGTCCTCGTTTTTGACGCCGAAATCCTCATCTCCATTAATCGTAATCCAGAGGATCTGACGCTCATTTCGCATCCATTCACCGATGACCTGCTTCATATAGGGTAGGACTTGGTGGTCAAGTTCATCCTCTACAGCAATGTTAATGGTTTCGGCCTTCAAACCGGCGTAGGCGGGGAGAGATTGGGTAGCCTGAAAAAGATAGGTTTATTTTTTAATCAATCAATCAAAAACCTGTAAAACCAATCCTTACCTGGAATGAGACGTTTTCTGTCGATGAATTGAGCAGCTCCACAATTTCCGGATTCGGCACAAGTTGCCGGATTGCCAAGTAACGATATCGCTGCTTCAGGGGTCGAAATTGGTCGAGCAACGTCAACAAATCCTCAGCATTATATTGAAGTAAAATCGTCCTGGTCTTCATATTTAATTCGGGACATCCAGGCTGCTTCAGGGTTATCCGATGAACGTAGGCATTACGTAAAAGGACTCCGTGCGCACTTTCGCCTAACAAGATCGGATCCAGCTCGCCATCACCGGTAAATTTGAAGGCCCACAAGTCTGCGTGAGTTCCGGGCCAATACTCGAGCAGGCCGGGCCATCGCTTGCCAGGGAAGTGCTCGATTAAATTCCATATTTGATGACTCGTCATCGCGAGACGGAATAGACTGCGCATATCCAGGTATTTGAGGATACCATTTTGACTTGCTGCGAGAATGTTGGGAAGATCCATACCTGTAATTGAAGGATTTCAATAAATTGTGAAAATCTTGGCGAGAGTATCCTTTGGCAATAAACGGACGATTAGGGAAAGGCAAAATAAAACATTTATCGGAAAAATTCGGAAACTCGTATATTTTCAAGTAAAGGCGCTGTCGGAAACGAGCAAGCAAGCGAAAAGTCAAAGGGCCCAGCTGGGGATTGTGCGACTTTGTGACTTGTCGATATCGATCGATTGAGGCGCCCGACAGGCCCGTGGCCACCGCTTATTTACAAAGAATCAGAAAAAAAGTGAGTCAGCACGTTCGTCTTCTTAACCAAAAGCTGCACAAATCAGAACGCGGAATGGTAAAAAGGGAGGTGGGAGAAATACGCGAAACGGTGGACTCGCAGCATTACGCCATGTAAATAGCATCTCGCAAGTGGAATCAAGTGAGGGCTACCCAGTACTCCAATAAATAGGTCCATAAAAAAGTGCGGACATGAGAAAACGCTACAAACGAGATACCTATTAAAACATCTATTCCAAAGAGTTTTATGCCAGGGTAGAAAAGCAGAAAGACCTTCAAAAGGCTCCAAAACTGTTGTTATAATTCAAAATCTCCTGTTATAGCCTACAGTGTAGGCTATAACATATGGGTGCCGTACTTTAAAAAAACTTTGAAAACAATGAACAGACTGCGGCAATAAAGTGCATGAAATATTTCTATATATTTCTTTCTTTCAGCTTTGCCTACACGAACCGATCTATAGCAATCGTGGGCCGGTTATTATTGCGGACAACCCAGACGAATTAAACGCGCTATTCCGAGTAGCGTTTGGATCGGAGCTGTGGGAATAGCCCTGTATTCGAGTACCGTGTTCACAGCAATAACGGAGCTATTCTCACATGATGTTATGATGAGCCGAAGCACCTACGAAATGCTCAGTTCTTTCGGAAATATAGATTAACATTTAGATTGTAAACAACAAACTTCTGCGTAGTCAGGTCGAATCAATTAGTTTCTGGCCTGATATTTGTTGCGCGCAATCCAGGGATACCAAGCACCTGTCGGGTTCCGGCCGCTATAGGCGGCCACTTTCCAGTAAATATCGCGTTTCCGCATTATTCTAATGCCCCTACCAAGCTTGGAACTTGAAGCCGTCGTCGTCGTCGCATTCCCGATACTATGGTTTTTGGGTTCTATTTGTTTCGGACTAGCTATTTATCTCATGTTCACAGTCCCTTCACTGATCAGTAAAAGTTTGAAAAGATATTTGCTATGTTTAATGGTAAGCGAAAATCGAGCGGCCGGTATTCAAAATTGTTTCCAGCTATTCTCTGAAATTGGTGACACATTCGTTGCGATATTCCGGCCTATAATTTATCTGCCGGCACTGGCAGTGAAGCTTCCAAATGACACCAATTTTCCTATATTAACAATGCTCATTGGAGCGGTAAAGCTCTGCAAAAACTAACCTGAAAATCAGGATTTTTAGGAAATCTATTTTCTTTCAATCAGCGGCATGATATTCACCTACTTTTCTAGCGGCGTCTCAAAGCGACGTCTTCTTGACGTAACGCAAAATTGTTTCTACAGATTTATGGAAATCTATGCCTATGTGATGTTTGCCACTCTCGCCATCACGCTAAGCTGTTTCATCTGGGTCCTTATTTTCAAGGAGTGTTGAAGTATTATGATACTACTCAGGTACGGTAAGAAAGACGGTATCGGAAAATTCTTCAGGTATGTATTCAAGCACCCGCTTATTGTGGACGGGGCCCGATAATTATATTAACCAGGCCTGAAGGGGCAAACGCGTGGTTCGGGATTGCCATCGGCATATCAGTGATTGGGATAGTGCTTTATTCATTCACTGTAATCACAGCGATCATGGAATTATTTTCGAAGGATGTGATGTTGAGCTCGAGCACTTACGAGATGCAAAAGTATTTCACAAAGATTTTTCTTCTACAGGTTATGTTTATATCGCTATCGTCTTTCGAAGGAGAATTTTAGAACACCTGCGCAATCTGCTGTGTCACAACGCCTGGGATCTGCATCTGGCTGGGGGTGATGGGCTTTGAGAAGGTGCCCTTTTTAATATTAGGTACGCTAATCTTAAGTCAATGTTTTTTTCTTGTGAAAACAAATTTGTTTTTGTTTTGCAGTCGGCCAAATAAGTCTCCTGATTATCGAATGTCATTCGCTATGCAACGCAATGGCCTTCATTTTTTGCAACTGCGGCCTATCGTAAAAAACTCTGGGTCTGGGTCACATTTGGCAAAGGTAAAGTGCTGCCAGACGTTCTCCAGGTTTAAAATTGTTTTAGCAAGCCAGCACCAAGCGACGGTGCATGTGACAACGACGATAGAAGTGAATTCTGCGCTCCAAGAAGCTAGACCGCATCCAATCAGCTATGCAAAGGAATTTCATACGATGAGCTTTGCCTTCAAGTAGAGGCTAGCTGACCGGTTCAATGCAATGCAAACTAAAAATTCTGGCTCAGGATCGTTATAATAAAAAAGCCTCGCCAGGTCTATGGTGCCACCCGCAAACGTAATTCGAAAAGCCGGATTTCACCTGCCTGTGATAACCAACAGGCACTTTGTTGTAAACATTAGAACTTATTGAACGCTTTGATGCTACCAAGCGAAGAGCTCGAATCCGTTGTTTTTATCGCTTTTCGCGTTCTCTGGGTAATAGAGACTTTTTGCTTTGGGCTGGCCACCTATTTTATGCTGATAGTTCCGTCACCTATGAGCCAAACTCTCAAAAGGCTTCTGCTGTCGATGATGGTTCGTGATAAAGCTTTTTTTACGAATTACATCGTTTGCCCGTTTCTCTAAACTTCTTTAGCTATTTTTGGAGCTCGCTGACACGGTCATCGTCACTTTCCGACCAATCCTCTATCCACCAGCTTTTGCCATTCGGCTCCCAAAGGATAGCAATTTTCCCACATACACAGTGTTGATTGGAGCTGTTGGTTCAGCCCACGTTGAATGAGAAAAGCTTTAGGAAATGTTCTTCCTAAGCTGGTGCGGTGTGCACTTCACCTACTTCAGCAGCGGGTTGCTCAAGCGCCGTCTGCTCGATATTGAGCAGCACTACTTTTACCGTTTTATAGAGATTTATGGCTACGTTATGTACCCAACACTGGGCATAACATTCAGCTGTCTGATATGGGTGCCGTATTTCGCAGGCACGCTGAAGAGCTATGAGGGTGTGGAGGTAACCTATAATTATGGGTTTTTTGTTATAGCTGTTGATTCAGCTTTGCCTCCATGAGCCAGATTATTGCGGCCGGGATCCAATGATCATTGCCAAAGATGCGGCTCAACTAAATTTCATGTTTCGGATTGCATTTTGGGTCGCGTCAGTTGGAATGGCCCTCTATCTGACTATAGTCGTCACGGCGATCGCAGAACTATGTTCAAAGGACCTCAAGTTGAGCCCCGGCGCCTATGAAAGGCAAAAGTACTTTACAAAAATTTTCCTGCTTCAGGTAAAGAGAGAAAACCAAGCGTAAACGATTCATCTCTAGAACGTATGCGCGGTTGGCTGTGTAACTGTGCCGGGAGTTTGTCTATTCCTCGGGCTTATGGGAATTGACAATCCGTTCGTATTAACGATTGGCCAGATTACATTTTTACTCGTCGAAGGACACTCGCTGTGTAATGCTTTGGTATTTATTTTTGCGACAAAGGCTTACCGGGATCGGCTGTGGAGATGGGCAACTTTTGGCAGAGGTATTTCATGGGTATTACAAACAGTTACCGATTGCAGCAGAATTGAACGGCGTCAAGATACATCTTGTAAGCCTGCCAAATGCAGCGTCAATCTCCGAAGTCAACTTCATCAACATGAAAACAACCGCACACTTTGCGAGCCTTCCATAAAGAATTTTTCTAGATAAAATTTTGCAAGATGATTGATCTTACAAGGGGAAGGGCTGGAAAATAAGAGGCAACAACGCTCCGATCATTTCTAGCCGCTCGCAACAATGAGGCCATTTTCCGCGTTCATTCTTTGAACAGCCATCATTAACTCTGTGGAGCCATTGCCGTATAATTAAAACGGCATAAAGGGCAGGGCGGGGGTACGGCAAACACCTGCTGCTTGTGGGCCCAGAGTATTATTGTTTAAAGCTGATCCCCAAACGAAAAATTATGGCGCTTCCAAGTGTGGACCTTGAAGCTGGGGTCGTATTTGCATATCCGGTATTGTGGCTGGCAGGGACGATCTGCTTTTCTCTTTCCATATATTTCATGTTTACGGACAAGTCGCCGATTAGCGAAAGTTTGAAGCGGCTTTTGCTTTGCATGATGGTAGGTAGAAATAGCTTTCCCAAGCCCTGAAACAGTCTCGAAGTGACTAAAAACTTCTTCAGTTTTTTGCTGAACTCATGGATACGATGGTCACAATATTTCGGCCAATCATTTACCTTCCTGCTTTTGTCATCAAGCTCCCCAATGACTCCAATTTTCCGACGCTTTCTGTGGTTCTTGGAGCGGTTGCGCACCGCGTCAAAGCTTTTACTTTCTCATTTTCAGCAAGTATATTTCCTTTGCTTTTCCGGTGTATTTTTCACCTATTTCCGAAGCGGAATTCTGAAGCGTCGTCTGCTCGACATCGACCAACACCATTACTATCGATTTATGGAAATCTACGCTTATATTATGTTTACTTCTCTCGGGATCACACTGAGCTGCTTCATTTGGATGCCTTACTTTGAAGGAACGCTGAAAAATTATGACAGAGCTGATGTAGGCCAGAAACAAGGTTTCCAAAGTTTTTAGGTGTGCATTTTCGAGCCATTATACTGCGGTCGAGGGCCAATAATTATCGCAAGCCGACCTGACGTATTGAATGCCATGTTTCGGGTTGCATTTTGGATCTCGGCCGTCGGGATTGTGCTCTATTCGACAACCGTATTCACCGCGGTCAAGGAGTTGTTCTCCAGCAACGTTAAAAAGAGCAGTAGAAGTACCTATGAGATGCAGAAATACTTTACAAAGATATTTCTATTACAGGTTAAAGAAAACCTAAATCCACTAAAATCCCAATAACTATTTTAGAACACGTGTGCGGTTTGTTGTGTAACGATACCGGGTACTTGCTTGTTGCTAGGTCTTATGGGCCTAGATTCGGTTCCTTTGCTACTTACCGGTGCCATTACTTTGTATTTCCCAAATATACCTTTTTAGTCGGTCAAGTCAGCTGTTTATTCATCGAAAGTCACTCGTTATTCAACGGGTTGGTGTTTATTTTTGCTACAAAAGCTTATCGTGAGAAGCTTTGGAGTTGGCTGACTTTCCGGAAAGGTAAGTGCTTTATAGACTTTTGCCATTAGATAACTATATTAAATTATTATAACCACGAGAGAGAATTTCAGGAAACCATCAGCAAGCCCGAGTCCAAGTCGTAAGCTTACCAAATGTGCTATCGATCACCGAAATCAAGTGTGGTTACCTGAAACCGATAGACGCAACATCGAAGAGTATTTAGTAAAGACCTATTTCCCAAAAATTCACGTTTATTTTAAGATCAATAAAACACCTGACCGTAGCCAGCTCTAAACGTACTTTTTTTCATAAGCTCAAAATAAAACGTGTGGGCCGGAATAATTACAAATTTCACCTGTTTCGGGGCAAAGTTTCCGGATCTGCTCCTTGATTTTCAAAGGGTTATCATGCGACTGCCAAGTGAAGAAGTTGAAGCTGTAGTATCGATTTTATTTCCTGTTTTATGGCTATTCGGTACGCTAGCATTCGGATTGGCTACGTATTTTATGATTACGATATCTTCGCCGATTACTAAAAACTTGAAACGCTTGCTGTTGAGTGTTTTGGTATGTAAATTGAAGGATTAAAGATTCCGTTCGTTTTCCAAACTATCTCCAGATATTTTCTGAAACCATGGATACGATGATAACAATTTTTCGCCCTATCATCTATCTACCAGCTTTTGCGATTAAAATGCCAAATGATGCAAGCCTACCAATATTGCTAGTGCTAATCTCAGCGGTAAATAGCTACAATCCATGTTTAATGGTGCGAAGCTTTAGCAAATTTACTTTATCGCATTTGGTGGGATGTTATTTACGATGTTCTACACCGGCCTAATGAAGCGGCGACTACTCGACGTCACCCAAAACTCTTTCCATCGATTTCTCGAAATCTACGCTTATCTCATGTTTGCTACATTGATTATAAGCCTCAGCTGCTTTATATGGGTTCCGTACCTTCAAGGATCAATAAGAAGCTTGGGCAACGCCGAGGTCCTCCATTACAATCTTCAAAATCTAAAATTCAGGCCTGTATTTACGAGTCAAGCTTCTGCGGCCGAGCGCCGATACTTATCGCGAGCAGCCCCGGTGAACTGCACATCCTTTTGCGCGTGGCTTTCTCAATTTGCGCTATTGGTATCATGTTCTACTGCTTTATTGTCTTTTCGGCGGTTGCTGAGCTTTTTTCGACAAACGTAACGATGAGCCCGAGCACATACGAGATGCAAAAGTACTTTACAAAGATATTTCTGCTGCAGGTATCCCAAACAAGTCAGAAAACTTATGATCTTGAGAATGCCGGCGCCGTATGCTGCGTAACATTTCCAGGTGCATGTTTGATTCTAGGTCTAGCCGGCTTTGACGATCTTTGGCTTATCAGAACAGGTGAGCGTCCCGCTTGTTGTACAAACAAGTTGCTAGTTGGCCAAATAAGCCTGGTAATAATCGAAACACACTCCCCATGTAATGCTGTAGTCTTTATAATGGCAACAAAAACTTATCGAAAACGACTTTGGTGCTGGGCTACTTGTAGTCGAGGCAAGCTATTGAAAGTTTAATAATTTCATACAAAAACCGTCAAAACTAATGGCATACTTTAGATGTGCAGAAGAACACTTGTATCGTCGTTTCTAGTCTCAAGAATGCTACTACGTGGACGGAAATTCATTCTGTGAATCTGAATGGGAACTCGACGTTGAAAAGTTTGCAATAAGACTTTACCGACAATTCTTATAGCATGTTATTCACACAATCACAGTATTGGTATTCCCAAAAATGTAAAAGAAAACACAGTAAAACGCTGTCAACATGAAACGTGAAATACAGGGGCGCCATGAAGCAGGGACAAGACAAAGGAAAAGGCCAAAAATCTTGGCAAGGATGTTTAGTACTTTCGAAGAAAAAGTTAGGGTGGAAGTGAGGGGCACCGTTTTCGTCGTATCGAATTCGATCACGGAATCCGCGTTGACGCGGCCGGCACGGATCATCGGCGCGGAGCCGGGCTCGCCGTCGCGGCGACCATTTCCTTGTCTAGCTTGCTGCCTAGCATCCAAGTCCTCGAGTTTGCTGAAAAAATGGAATTATAACAAGCCAAAGACACTTAATCGGAAAATGTGTAAAGCTCGAGCAGTTTTACAAAGTATTTACTAGAGCGTTAAGAATTCTCTTGTCGCTTTTTATAGCTGCTCGAGCTTTACTAATTCACTCGAATTTTATAAATCCGTACTAGACAAATTACCCGCTTAGTCAGCGAAAAAGCAGTGTTTACAAATTTTACTGACCTAAGAACATGCCAAACAACCGCCGGCGACCATCCGACGAATCGACAACGCCGGAAATCTCGATCCCCATAGCGCCAAGCTTCAATGAATCGACTGGGCGATTCCCAGGTGGGCCAGGCCGTCGGGTCGGCGCGAAACTCGATACTTTCCGTGTTGATCTCATGGTACTTCCAGCAATTCACCACCATATCTGCCACAAATCCCTTCGAATTCTCGTTGACGTATTCGATGAAAACTGGGGACGGGTCTTCATATTGTGACACACGAATGGAATCGAACTTTCCGGGTGGTTTCATTGCTGCTAATAGCATCAGCAGCAAATGCGGTTGCGCAAATCCTTGGGTTAGCTCGACGTTCTTCGCCTTCATTCCCGGAGAGAGGCGCGGCCAATCGCAGACGATCGTGTGGACGGTGGCGTTGGTGAAGAGTACTTTCAGACACTTCGTTCCCTCGATATGAATCATCGGCAGATCTCGATCAGCGTCTGCGTGCACCATCGTTACCGAATCCTGGCGGTAGATCACGCGATAGTCCCAGCTTTTGCTTCGAATTGTGGCCGCTTTCCAGTTGTATTTGCACGTGCACGCCATCTTGAAATACGTCTTCGGGTCCACATAGCTCAGGATTTGGTGGAGGATTTCGGGTGGGAGATTTGGGGCGAGCATCGGCTGAAAAAAAAGTGTTTTCAATGGCAAAGAAAGTAAAAAAAACTGATCTTGAAAATCAGCAACAAATCTGGAAATCGAAAAACATACAAAGAGAAGAAAGTTGTAAGGAAATTGAAAGTAAGAACGTGAAGGTTTATCCATTTTGCCGGTTTTGAAAGATGATCGAAAAGAAAACGGTCCCGTCGCGATGCGTTTCGAAAGTCGAGCTTGTGTCTATCCTGCGCTCGGCTCGCGCATTAATGAGAGGTACGAAGCGCCGCATTTATCTCCTTTTCTCCGATGCCTCCGAATTTATTTATAAAAGTACCTACGGGGGGAGGAGCCGCTTCGCGACTAAGCTTGTGAGGTTAGCTTCATTCTATAGGCTGCGGCGCAGGTTTGAGTGACTAACTTCATAATAACTTCCCTGCACGGAAGTCGACTCCGAAACGTTTCTTTCCTCGGTTCTGTTCTATTTCGCGTGGGGGAAAAAAGTGCGGGGGGGGATTTTCTTCGTTTTGTTATAACTCTTTTATATGATGCTATTTTGAGTTGTCATTAAAACTCTTAGTATATGTTTTGACGCTCTATCGAATGGCATTAAAGAAATTTTTAAAAGTTATCGAAAATGTCGAAAACTAGCTTTCGACTCCACGATCCCATGTGGAAACACCGAATAAACCTTGTTTTTGCTATAACTATTTTATAAAACAATATTTTTAGATGAAATTAAAACTCTTAGTATATTTTTTGATGCTCTATCGAATGGCGTTGCTAAAATCCCGAAAAAAATAGGGAAAAGATGGAAGGTTCCGCGAAGCATATCCCCCCCCCCGCACAGTTTTTTCCCCCACGCGAAATAGAACAGAACCCTTTCCTCTGCCACTTGTTTGTGTGTTTTTGCAAAGACAATAATTTTTGTCAAATTTATTTTATCCAAAACCCTTGACCGCAATACGCACCTCGACAGTCACGAAAGCGACAAGGACAAGGCATGTGACAACGACAAGGGGAAAGAGAGGACGCCAGAGGGGAGGAATCATTCGAATTCGGATGGCTAGCCAGTAAAGGAAGATGTAGAAAAATTCAGAGGACACCATCCGGTGCGACGAGTACTCGGCGAGGGTATCGATTTCGACGTGACATTCTCCGTCCTTACTGCCGATGCGTAGCAATGGTAATCGCTGCCTTGGCTTCGGGTAGAACACGGCCTCTTCCTCAAGTTCGACTTGTAGCCTGGAAAGTGTGGAGTGATTTCGAGCTCTCGCTCTCTCGCTCTCTCTCCCTTTTCATACAATACATCTATGATACGATTTATAAGAAAACACGGACTTCAAGAACCTTAAAACAGCACAAGCTATTACCTAAAAAATTCGTCATTAACTTACATTATCATATCCATCATAATCTCGTATGGCCATCCGATGAATCGACATCGTGTAAAGTCACGCTTCCCATCCACCCAATCCCGCATGTAGACACAAGGTAGCCGGTCCGCTGGCTCCTCATCCGGATGGGCTCGGAATTCCAGGAACTCGGTCCTTGCCCCCTGGTAGCTCTGGAATTGCGGCACTCTATCCACCACGAAGCCTCGCGAATTCTCATTGATGTATTCGATGAATTCCAGGCTCGGATTTTCGAGTCCGGCCACGCGGATCGAATTATACTTCCCGATCGGATGAAATATTTGCAAGAGATCAACATCCGGCCTCGTGTGATCTGTATCGATTTCCAGGTTCCTTGCCTTCATGCCCGTGAAGTAAAAATCGCTGCAAAGTCGGAGTCTTTCGAGGGTGGCGTGAGTGAACAGCATCTGAAGGGTCTGGGGAGCTTCGATGTGTAAGACCTCAATTTCCCAACCGTTTGCCGTGGGCACAAGGGAAACGGAAGTGTCTCTGAGGATCAGCAGTTCTTCAAAGTATTTGAGTCGACAATTCTTCACGAGCTCCCAGGTTTGCCTGCTGGCAAGGGCCGTTTTGAAAAGTGATTTTGGTGGCAGGTAGCTCATGATAAGATGTTGAATCTCGACGGGGAGTGGTGGGATTTGCGTCATCTGAAAATTTTAAGCTTAGCCAGTGACGGAATTTCAGGCACTGTCGCCATAGTCAAAACCTAGGGCAAGCCGGGAGTTTTCCGAAAATCCACGGTGCCAACTCGAGGTTTCCTTTTGAGCTGACAAAACCTAAATAAACATAGGAACGTACCTTTATAGAAGATTGTCGAATCGAGCCGGTCAGTTTTCTGCGGGAAGCAATCTATATAAAGGTAAGGTAAAGTAGGGAATTCCAGGACGTATTGACGCCAAACTGTCCTCGATCCCAATATGACCACTTTGTCGGACATCTGCCGATACCAAGCATTAATCGCAGTAGGTGATATAAGGAACAGTATGGCGTAATGAATTGTTTTGAGGTGCATTAATGGATGAAATATTGCTAATTGTTATAAATTTTAGGTCTAGAAAAAGTAATAGCAATTACTAAAAAAGCAAAACTATGTTTTTTGGTGTAAATTTTAACTGACAAGTCGAACTTTAAGCTCACACTTTATAATTAAAATCATTCACTGTCTTTTCCGCTACTTTTGTGGCCTCTTGAGCCATTTTCTGAAAATCCGCCGATTTTTGGCCCCATCTAAGCTTTTCAGCCGGCCGTTCTCACGCGGACGCATTGGCCCTGCCGAAAATAACATCCCTTTTTGCAGCCCTACAAATAATTGCCAATATCCCGCGTTCCTCAAAAAACCCCAGGCGAACCGACTTTTTGTTCCCATGGCGATAAACTCGAGCGTGAGCGTGAGCGTGAGCGTGAGCGAGCCTGAGGGTCACACTGAGCTATTTGTTTTTCTAAGATTTTGCCCTCTAAAATGGGTCCCGGGGCGAGGGTGATCCACGAAGAATTCCGTAACAATAAACTAGTTTCCAGAACGTATGCCGAGTCGAAAGGGGTAAGTTTTCTAATTCGGAAGTTTCAGCTTTGTAGGTGAATCATTGCGGTCCGTTATTGGAATACAATCAAAACTTTAGTAAGTCTAAATTCTCAATCGAACGGTGTTTTAGATTACAATCATGGTCGTAGAAGTTACTCTAATGAACACAGGAAAAATGGTAGTTTCGTTTTTTATAAATCTGCTTCCACATTTTTAAAGATTTATTTGCGCTAAACAATTCCGAATATTTCTAGGCAACAATCGACATCGCCGAAACCGTAGCCTACCAAGAATTGATTCTTGCGCTCCGCCTTCTTATGACGAAACTTTTCCGGGTCAAAATCAATGCATTACAGGCTCGAAGGTATTTTCAACCTTTTTATCGTTATCTCTTTAGCAAAAAGCCATCCGAACTGACCACCTTGACATTAAAACCTGGGCCCCATTCCCGGGACATCAACAAATTGTTGAGGTGTTTTTCTGATTTTCGATGCTCAAATTCCACCTCGCTATAGATCGAAAACGTTTCCGAGTACGATCAACGCCTAAAATTCCATGCTAATCGCTGTCGAGCGAGCCACAAGGGCTACAATTTGTGGCCCGGGCGGAAAATGAAGTAGGTTTGACTACCTAAAACAACGAAAAAAAACTACCACGATATCACTATGCTACTTTTAGAGTTCGGGTCGACGGGCTTGATAGCTTCGAAACCGACAGCTACTTATTGATCAAGACCTGGGCTGAATACGCAAAATCCGTACCTGAAAGAGTTTGCGTGAAAATGACCGTATTCCCGTGAGGCGTTGATTCATAAACGTCGTATAATTTTATGCTTCTAGATGTGTAAATTTACTAAAAAAGGTTTTTTTGCTCCGCTACAATTTGCATACACTGTACCGATCAAAACTTGCACTCAAACACACAAAGGATTATTCTCGGAAACAGTCCAAAAGCGTGCCTCAAAAAGCGGTGTTGCCCTACGTTTGCGATTTCGAGCATCAAACCAACTACCACCTCCGCCCCAAAAAACCGGTCCCACTGAAGCCTATTTGCACAATTTATCCCAAATCGACGACGATAATAAAAACACTACTCACACCACCGGGTGATTCAGGCTGTTACTTTGACTGTTTTCGTGCTGACGCCAGCTTTTGCTTGTTTTACCTTTTTATTGACTTTTACTAGGTGCAGAATTTTTATTGACCTTTAACGACGTATTTTGTGCTTCCGGGGAGCTTGTGAGATTTTATATTAACTTCTTGAACAATTTTTATCTTTGCAAAAACTGTACTCACTGGCCGAAACAACAAGTTCTCGACTTTGCCCGAGAAAAGTCGGAGGTGCTACAGATTCCGAAGCGATTTCCGGGATTGGTCGCAATAAAACCCGAGTCATGTCCCTTATCGGCTGACCAATTTACAATCGCTAGTATCCGTGTCGGTTTCTTAAGGGTCAGAGTCTGTCCGTCATAATAGCAGATCTCGGTGCCTAGCAAAAAATTCAGGCCGGATACGTCACTTCAAACGTCAGAACCTGTAGTTTGTTGCGACCCGCTTCATGAACCTAACCATGATTTTCGTAGATCAATCCCCGTAGCATATTGTCTCTTTTCCACTTGGCCCGGGTGCACGTCATAAAGATGGTATGGAGTGTCTATGCCCTATCACGCCCCCCCCCCGTGTCCCAAATCCGGGGTTTTTGGTCGTAAAGGTTCTTTGCGAGATAACGGAAAGGCATATAGGGGCTGATTGGCGGGTTGGCAAGCGCTTCTGCCACTTGAAGGAAGTCTTCCCACACGAAATGAAGACCCTCATCTTGTTAGCGGCCGTATGCGCCGTCGGGCTCAGCATGGTTCGGTGCGTTGTTTTTTTGAGAGTAGCTAGGAATCGTTCTCTTACGGCATTTTTGGGGATAGCAAATTGGATCTGGTCGTCCGATTCTTCTGAAATGTATATGGTGTGAAAATAAAAGTTGGGCAGGGAGGAGATAGAGGGAGAAAGAGAGAAAGAGAGAGAGAGAGCTAGTATTTTTTAATTCTGATTTTCAGCGTCCCCATGGAGAAACGCGGTGCCCTTAAGCGGCCAAACCTAAAGGCTATCAGCCAACGTCTTCGCAGCCGTCACGACAAGACTTACCAACTCGTCCAGAAGGACGCTTACCAAGAGGGTCTCTCCGATTATGAGAATGTACGTTTTACGAATCCACGTTAGCACCTCGACCCGTTCTCATCATACTTTCTTCTTAAGAATTTCTGGAGCGAAATATTTTACGTTTTATCGATCCACCATCCATCTTATCGATATTATAATCCCTCCCGTCTGGAGTACATCCTTCGATTTCTGGTTTTTCTGATCTCTATCTTCCAAACCTCTTTCCTTTGTTCGCACTTCTCAAAAACCCACCATCTTATCTTTTTCTGTTCGATCAGACCACGTTGCTACGTAGGCGAGCGCGATCACTGGAAGCTTCTGGGTAGATAAGCGTTGTGATGAAACAATCTTACCTAAAGCGAGGCTTAAAAAAAATAAAAATGGCTTTTCCAGGCCCAGTACTACGGCTCCGTCACCATCGGAACCCCTGCCCAGAACTTTGCTGTAAGTTTTTGAAGAACCTCCATTTTTGTGTTTTAGAAGAAGTTCATAACATAAATTTTTAGATCCTTTTCGACACTGGCTCCTCCAACCTGTGGGTGCCATGCGCCGACTGCAAGATCAGCAACATTGCCTGCATGCTTCACAAGAAGGTACGTCAAGAATTGACGCCATTTTATGCAGGCTTTTTGAGAACCTTTATCGTTACCTTCTGATAGTTGTTAATGAACCAGAAATTTAAGAAAAAAGGTGGAAAACGACCAAAACCCACCCCGAAGAAACCAGGGCGAAAAGTGCCAAAGGTTTGCGCGTGTGGCCTGACTAATTTTTTCATTTTTTTGCTCTCACTTTGTTTTAGTTTAATAACTATTTTGTTTATTTTAACACCCACGTACCCACCCTTTTATATAAAAAAATTATAATTATAGTGTTGTACAAAATTTTTAGTTCGACTGCAAGAAGTCGAGCACCTGCACCGCCACTGGAGCTCCGTTCGAGATCCAGTACGGCAGTGGCTCTATGGCCGGAGTTGTCGACAACGACGTTGTTTGCGTAAGTATTTAAGGCACGACGTACCCATTTACTCTTTTGAACCAGGAAATAAGTAAATATTTTAGTTCGGAGGCCTGAGCAGCGGCTTCTGCACTGACAAGACCCAAGGCTTCGCCTGCGCCGAGACCGAGCCCGGAATCTCGTTCGTTGTGAGTTTTCATAAGAAGTAGTTTTAAACCGCCTAAGAAGCATTACATTGTAAGCATCACACTGCTGAATTCACCAAAACAATTTTTTAGGCCGCCAAGTTCGACGGTATCCTCGGTATGGGCTGGGACTCGATCTCCGTCAACAAGATCCCGCAGCCAATGGACCAGATCTTCGCCAACAGCGTGAGTTTTTGGAAGCGAGAGAGAGAGCAGAGAGTGGAGAGAGAGAGAGAGAGAGAGAGAGAGTGATCATAAAATTCTGAATCCTTTCAGGGCATCTGCCCCCAGCAGCTGTTCGCCTTCTGGCTGAACCGTGACCTCGACGACAACGCCAACGGCGGAGAGATGACCCTCTGCGGAACCGACACCGCCCACTACTCTGTATGTAGTAGTAATCTTCGTAGTAAATTTGTTGCACTAAAGAAAGAGACGATTCGGCTATTGATACGTTCAGGGCAACATCGCCTGGGAGCCGCTGATCGCCGAGGACTACTGGCGCATCCAGCTGGACTCGATGAGCATCAAGGGTAAGCAGGTCGCCACCAAGATCGCCGCCATCGTCGACACCGGTACCTCGCTCTTGGCTGGACCCACTGACGCCGTCAAGGAGGTTGGTTTTTTATACCCCGATCAAATAGGAAATACAGCTTTTCCTGCTTCAACCTAACGTTTTCAGATCCAAAAGCAAATCGGAGCCTTCTCGCTCGGCAACGGCGAGTACATGGTCGACTGCAACCTGATCCCCCTCCTCCCCAAGGTCACCTTCACCCTTGGAGGACAAGACTTTGTCCTCGAGGGCAAGGACTACGTCCTCAAGATCACTGAGCAGGTACTGAACTTGTTTCCCAGAGCCCTTTAAACGTTAATCTAGGGAGAATCCGTGTGCCTCTCCGGCTTCATGGGCATCGACATCCCGGCCCCGAACGGACCTCTCTGGATCCTTGGAGATGTCTTCATCGGCCGTTTCTACTCCGTCTTCGACCGACAGAACATGCGCGTCGGATTCGCCCAGTCCAAGAAACAATAAATTTATTTGCGTTTATGCTTGCCTGTGCATAGTAAATTGTCAAAAAATTATTCGAAGTTGGAGTACCTCTACAATTGAGCGAATTCTTCTCCAAAAAAGTTCAGCAGAATAAGAAGCTCTGTATTTTCGGGGTTTGGATGCAATTTGACGGGGAAATCCCAAGAGAGAGATGTTCGCAAGCCGTCTTTAGAAACGGCATGAAAAACTAGATAGGAATTCTATCAAAAATGATTTTTGAAGGTTAGAATTTGTGGCACAACGATCGTAAGTTGGCGCTTTACGTACGTCACCTAGCTCGTGTTCAAAGACTGTTTTGAGGTAGAAATTTGCGGTACGAGTCACTAACACCATGGTTTTCAAATCTGTATAAAAACTACCTACTAACTGCATAAGCTCTATAATATTTATTTACAATCATTATCCTGAGCAAAAATCAACCGGATACGCTGTACCAATGCACGTTCCGACACTGCACTTCTGCGTGTACGTCACGGCGCCAACGGGAAAACCTGCAACAGTAGTTTGATGGTAAGGTTGATATGAACTTAGTAAATCAGAAAAAAACGTAGTAAAACTCATCCCTTACCGTCAATGTTAAATTTGCAGTTATTGCCATTAGGGTGGGTGAGCACGCAAATGGAGAGCAGCGAGAAGTCGAATGCTATAAAAATCTATCAATAAGCTTGATTTTTGTATATTAAATGCATTATCTAGTGTACTC